CTGTGTAAGGGGAAGAAATTCAGGGCCTGAAAAACTGAACAGAAAACAGTAGTTCTCAAGAGTAATATATGATGTTGAAAAAAAGTACAGTTGAGTCTTTTAATAAGCATAAAGTAAACAGTCTAAGTGATATGAAAGCATAATTGGAGTTACAATGGGGGCTGCTTTTTTCTTAATGGTGCATGTTCCAGTGTAGGGCACCTTGGACCTGAGGACATCCAGTCTCTTTGTTCACACACACGAGTGTCTCTGCAGGAGAAATTCCTGGAAGTAGAACTGCTAGACCAAAGGGTACAAGCGTTTGGTGGATTCTACTGGACTGTCTTAACAAAACAAAATGAAAAGAAATAAAATAGGGTCCTTTTCTGCACACTCTTAAGAACATTGACGTTACCAATCTTTTAAAAAAATAAACAGGGTCCAGCAGAAGTAAGACCTGCTAGACTGTGATATTGTTACAGAATTACATGCTTATGATTTTGTAATAAAAAAGGGCATTATTTGTGCCAGACCCTGTATTTTATTGATTATGCTATTACAGCTGTCCCCATTTTTTTTTTACCCTTTTCCTTCCTCCACTCAGTACTCCCATTCCCTCCTGGAATTCCCCCCTTAGTTCACATCCATGTGTCGTGCATAGTTCTTTGGCTCTCCATTTCCTATACTATTCTTAACATCCTCCTGCTTCTATTTTTAAAGATTTCATTTATTTATGAGGGGAATGGAGGGAGAAAGAGAGGGAAAGTACCTGGCCTGCAACCCAGGCATATGCCCTGACTGGGAATAGAACCAGCGACCCTTTGGTTTCTCAGGTGGGCACTCAATCCATTGAGCCACACCAGCCAGTGCCCAATTATGCTTCTTAATCCCCACACCTTTCCCCCCATTCTTTCCCTTTCTCCTCCCAGCTGATAACTCTCCAAATGATTTCTATATCTGATTCTATTCCTGTCCTGGTTGTTTGCTTAGTTTGTCTTTTTAGATTCAGTTGCTGGTAGTTGTGATTTTGTTGCCATTATAATGTCCATTGTTTTGATCTTCTTTTTCTTAAGTAAGTCCCTTCAGCATTTCTTTTTTGTCTTTTAATATATTTTATTGATTATGCTATTACAGTTGTCCCACTTTCCCCCTTTATTCCCTTCCACCCTGAACACCCCCTCCCACCCACATTTCCCCCCTTTAGTTCATGTCCATGTGTCGTACATATAAGTTCTTCGGCTTCTACATTTCCTATACTATCCGTAACCTCCCCCTGTCTATTTTCTACCTACCATTTATGCTACTTCTTCTCTGTACCTGTTCCCCCTCTCTCCCCTCCCACTCCCCACTGATAACCCTCCACGTGATCTTCATTTCTGTGATTCTATTCCTGTTCTAATTGTTAGCTTAGTTTGTTTTGTTTTTTGCTTTTTTTTTTGTTTGGTTGTTAATAGCTGCGAGTTTGTTGTCATTTTTATGGTTCATATTTTTTATCTTCTTTTTCTTAGATAAGTCCTTTTAACATTTCATATAATAAAGGCTGGGTGATAATGAACTCCTTTAACTTGACCTTATCTGAGAAGCACTTTATCTGCCCTTCTATTCTAAATGATAGCTTTGCTGGACAGAGTAATCTTGGATGTAGGTCCTTGCCTTTCATGACTTCAAATACTTCTTTCCAGCACCTTCTTGCTTGCAAGATTTCTTTTGAGAAATCAGCTGATAGTCCAATGGGAACTCCTTTGTAGATAACTCTCTCCTTTTCTCTTGCTGCTTTTAAGATTATCTCCTTATCTTTAATCTTGGCTAATGTAATTATGATGTGCCTTAGTGTGTTCCTTCTTGAGTCCAACTTGTTTGGGACTCTCTGTGCTTCCTGGACTGTATCTCCCTCTCTCTGTGTTTCCTTCACAAATTAGAGAAGTTTTCTTTCATTATTTTTTCAAGTAAGTTTTCAATTTCTTGCTCTTCCTCTTCTCTTTCTGGCATCCCTATAATTCGGTTGTTGGTACATTTAGAGATATTCCAGAGGCTCCTTATACTATATTCATTGTTTTGAATTCTTTTTTCTTCTTGCTGTTCTGATCAAATGCTTATTTCTTCTTTATGTTCCAAATTGTTGATTTGAATCTTGGCTTCATCCCCTGCACTGTTGGTTCCCTATAGATTTTTCTTTATTTCACTTAATGCAAACTTCATTTCTGCCTGGGTCTTTTTTATGCTGTTGCTGTACTCAATGAGTTCTTTGATAACCAGTGTTTTGAACTCTGCTTCTGATAAGTTGGTTATCCCATATTCTGTTTAGTACTTTTTCTGTTTGTTTGTTTTTTTTCTGTTCTTTCATTTGGGCCATGTTTCTTTGTCTCCTCAATTTGACAGCCTCCCTGTGTTTGTTTCTGTGTGTTAGGTAGAGCTGCTTTGACTCTCTGACTTAGTAACGTAACCTGTTGTAGAAAAGGCACCTGTAAATTGTGTGGGGCAGAGCCTTAGGTAACCACCAGGGTAGGGCAACTCACTTTACTGTTTTGTGGCTCTGTGTGAGGGGAGGGCTCAGAGAGGACAATGCTGCTGTCTGATTCCTGGCCCTTACCTTTCTAGTTACACTTATTGGTGGCGACTGGTGCCCTTCCAGCTGTTGCCCTGATGCTGAATCCCAGAGGGGCTGGGTCTTCGGATGTTCTAAGGCCATTAAGTGGAGTCTCCTGGAAACCCAGTGGTTTCTTCTGCCATCCCAACCCCTGCCGGTTTTTTACAGCCAGAAGTTATGGGGATTTATCTTCCTGGTTCTGGAACCCTGAGCTGTGTGGCCTGGCCTGGGGCTAGGATCCTGACTCCAAGGTATCCCTCCCAATTTTTATCTACGTGTGAATGTGTGACTGCCTGCTCCATCACTGCTGCCTCTCTGCCCATCTCTCTTCCTACCCATCAGGGTGAATGTAGCTTCTTTAAATCCTTGGTTGTTAGATTTCCATACAGCTCAATTTTCTGATGGTTCTGGGTGTTATTTGTTTTGAGGTCTAGTTGTAGTTCTTTCTGTGGTTGCACAAGGAGGCAAAGCATGTTTACCTATGCTTCCATCTTGACTGGAAGTCCTTTTTTGATGTTCGATCTTTTACATTTTTTTCTCATCTGACCGGCTCTCCCTAAGTCTTCATTTAAGCTTCGATTCAGAATGAAAAAAAATCTGTGCTTCCCCAAATTATCAGCATGCTTCACTCTTCCATGTGACTTGTTCAGATCTGCATCACACTTCCCTAGAGCTTGGCCCTAGGGAACCAACATCTTTCTGCTCCTAAGGGAAAATAAAGGGTCACTTCCCCACATGGTGCTGGCGAGGAACAGGCACTATTAAGACAGGAGGAGGTCTTAGATGCTGCTGGATCCCTGGGGTTCTGAAAGGCATTCACTACAGCTTGCATTGTTACAAGTGGCAGTGGCACGTTTTAAATTTCTATTTAGAAAAATAATAATTAAAATAATTCTTTAGACAACCTCTTGGTCCATTAAAATAAAATCGCTTTGGGAGTCTCTTTTATACTGGTTAAAAATATAAAACGTAAAAAGTTTACTGAAATAAAGATCATACAATGAGGATTCTACAATTTGACTCAAGATGATCTTTATTCACTAGATATGCAAAGTGCATTTAGCTGATCAAAATGTTTATCTGGCTCACCCCAATGTCTCTTGTGTATCAGAAACCAAAATCAAAGAGAAAATATAGTGACAATTATACCCAATTCAGCCTTTCATTAATTATTAGGAATAAAGACTAGCCATACCCACTTCTTGTCATTTGCAAAACTGTGCTTGCATATAGCAGCCTGAATCCTTGAGTTTTATCTCATCATATAGATACAAAAACATGAAAATAATAACAACCAATTTTTATATTGTAAAAGTATAAATTCAGCCCTGGCTGGCGTAGCTCAGTGGATTGAGCACAGGCTGCAAACCAAAGCATCGCAGGTTCGATTCCCAGTCAGGGCACATGCCTGGGTTGCAGACTCGACCCCCAGCAACCGCACATTGGTATTTCTCTCTCTCTCTCTCCTTCTCCCTCCCTTCCCTCTCTAAAAATGAATAAATAAAGTCTTTTAAAAAAGATAGCCATACAAAGGTAAAACATACATATATTTTTTAAAAAGTATAAATTCCACACATTCATCAGGGAAAGCAATTTTCGTCTTTTTGATGCTACAATTAGTCATTAACTATAGGGAACAGATCAGCATGGCAATGGCGAATGTAGCCCAGTATTGATCCAGAAAATTGATCTAATGTGAAGTGGCACACAAGAGCCAGGTGTGCAGAGCGGCTTTTCCCCTGATGGGGAATCAGGTCTGCATTGTCCCTAGGCTGCTATGAGACTTGCTTTTGCTGAAACTCCCTCACCCTGAGTTAAGACTGCAGATGTTTAATGTATATCTCTGAGGCAACTCCCTCAAGTCTGTGCTAAGATGTCCCAAGGATGGAATATAACCAGATCAATCATTTTTATTGTTCCTTTGCATTTGCAACTTTTTCTCCTGTTTTTTTTTTTTTTATCTGTAAGAAGTAATCACCTAACTAAATCTAGAAATAATGAGAACCTTCTTTGATGTAATGCAACTGGAAAGCAATAAAAGCCTGTCCAAGCAAAGGTCGGGGTACTCTCCCCTTGAGAGAGTGGCTGTGCTGTCCCTTTTTCTCCACAGGACTCGGTAGTCCATGTGAATTTGTGTACCGCATCCACAACACACAGACTCTGGAGGGCTGGAGTCTGCGTCAAGTAACTTCCATACATTTTAATATACATTTGTCCCAACACCAGATTTATGTGTATGTTCTTTTTAAAGTTATTTGTTAACAAACCTCTGGTTGTTGAGATTTTCCCTTATGTAATTAATTTAAGCTAAATCAAACATTTTCTATTACATGGTAAATGGAAAAGGATTGAGACTAGTCTTTTTATATTATGGGTATTACTCAAGATTGTTCTGTTTTAAAATTACACACACACACACATATATAAAAATAAGTTTTAGTTAAAAAATCCCTTCTTTATTAACATCACACAAATTATTAAATGGTTAAATAATCTCAAGGTGTTGGCAAGAATATACATGGTAAAAGGAATTCTTCAGCCAAGATAGACTGAAAAGCTATCTGGTCGAGATCCCACAATGAACGGATGCAGAAACTGAAGCCCAGAGAAAAAAAGAGACAGTCACAGAGCCAGGGAGAACCACAGCTCAGACTCTTACTTCATTGCTTTTCAGAGTCAGTCTGTATGAAGTTAGGTCATTTGAAGGTCTCCAGAGACTTCTTGCTGAAGTCTCCCTGGTAGGAGAGGTTCTGACAGTACCTCCCTCAAGGCTCGGCATTGGCCTCACTGGTTTCTACCTTTAAAGCCCCCAAACTCTTTGGGAACTAAGCTATTCTGGTTTTCAAAGGCTTTATGAGGTGCTGCCTTCCCTTCCCATGCAGCTGGAAGTCAGTCAATATCTGCTGGACTCATAAGGGAGTAGACCTATAAATGGGGGGGCAGTGAGAAAAGAAGCTGGACCATCAGAGGCCAAATTTGCTGCTCACAGTCTACCCTAACAGGTGGGTTCTACCCGAGGGACTCAGGAGGAAGAGCAAACTGCAAATGCCACTGGATTTGAGAAGACACCGTGTAAGGGTCCACAACTTACTTTCTTGTTTATCAGGAAATTAATCCCTTTCCATTTAGGGGAAAAATTATTCCAACTCTGGGGCACACCCTGCATTTAACTTTACAGCCTGTTCTGGCTTTTGGGAAGGACTTATATCATAGGTTTACTCTGTGCTGTCCTTGATTTATCCTGAATTTGCGCACAAATGCTCCAAAGAGCCCTAATCCTGGCATGTTGTAAACAACTCTACATCCCACTACCTGCCTGGTGCCTGGTAGGATCTTGCAAGGTTGTTGATGGTGCCCTTTCTGAGCTCTTGCTCTAGATGTGGGTCTCTCACAGTTTATAAAACCATCTGGAGAGCCTCACCTACCTCCTTTCTCTGGGTAACTCAGGTCTGCACACAGCATCAAACTTCTTAAAAGCACCATTTTCAGGAAGCCCCTACCTTACACACAACCTGTCACTGTCTCGTCATTACCTGCTGATCACTCTAATCTCTTCTGTTCAATGTCAAGACTTTCTACAATCCTATTATTGCTCAGCACTAGTCACCTTAACACAAGTATTTTCAATGGGTACACTGCAAGAATTTTAAAAATATGCAATACCTGACCTAGTCAGGGACACTGACCTCTTTCTCCTAGGATTATCAAATAAAAAAAACAACAGTCAACACAAAAATAGCTGTCTGGTGTAAGTGAATCAAAATCATACCTATTTTTTTTGGGTCAGACTGGCAATAAAATGTTTTTTGGTGTGCTACAGAATTTTAATAATTAGTTTGTGTGCTGTATTAAAATTGAAAATCCCTGCCCTAACACAGCCCATTACTGTGGATAAGTCAGCATCAAGGTAACGACATACATGATCTTTATTTTGCCCTATCACTTCTTTATCAACAGGTGGTGTCCCCAGTCTATTGCCATAGTGTCCTGTTGTTTGGTCTTCTGGCTCTGTCAGGAAAGCACGGGTAACCACAGAGTGACCAATGTGCTAACAGAGGCCCAGGACACAATCCAGTGAGGCAACCACGGCAGAACAGACCAGCGGGGTGGGTGGGGGGTAGTAGGGGCTTTGTGGAGGTGGCTGCAGCTCGTCTCCCAGGGGGATTCAGGTTCCCGGTGGAGTTGTCAACTGGTTACAGGAGGAACAGAGCCTAGAGTCCCCGGAAATGCTTACACTGAAACATCTTTTGAAACCTGTAGGAAAAAAATGTAATAATAAAAGTAACAATGACATCAAACTTCAGCCTGGATTATATCTATCTTTATTTTGCAGTAGTAAAATAAAATTTTAAAAAATTTAAGGGAGGGGCCCACATAGACAAAAGTGCCTAAGGCGTAGAATCATCATAATTCAGTCTTGGGTACAGTGTTTACATTTTCTGGTTTTTAAAAAAGAAATGGTATCTAGATCTTTGTATGAGACCTCTTTATTTTAAATATTAGGAGCTAGTTTTAAAATTAAGCAAAACATGTGTGGCCCAATAAAATACGCACGCGGCTTAGCCTGCATCCTGTCAAAGGCCAGGGCTATCATCCTGTCCCCAGAACGCCCGTCGCTTGAAACGATTTCTGGGACACGCCTTCTGCCTGGAGTGCCCCTGCAACCTGTTCAGGATGGCAGAAGGAACCCCGGAAAACCTTCGGGGTGCAAGGCTCTGATGCCAAAGCCCCGCCCTGTCCGGTCTTCGCAGCTGGGTCGCCGACCCCTCCATCCCTCTTAGGCCTGGGTGGTCCGTAGCTGCCTTACTGGAAGGAGCTTGGTTCACACTTTCAAGGGTTTGCCCACTCCCTCTGACTTCCAGGGTGGGGGTCGACCCACTCGTCGGTCACGCGGGGGCGTGGGGCCCCGAGCAGTAGTAGTCCGGGGCAGCTGCGGCCCAGAAGCCAACACCGCCCCGCCTGGCCCCACCCCTCGGCCCGCGTCACGGCAGCAGCTAGGCCCGCCCGCCCGCTTCCAGCCCGGCCTCGGGGACTAGGGCTGGCGACCTAGGCGGCCCGCTCCGGGTTGGCGAAGCTCCACGGCGGAAGCAGAGGTGGTTTCAGACTGCAGAGGCCGGGGCTCCTCCTCCCGCCCTGTCCCGAGAGGTGGGCTGCGCTCTATTCTAGGACCCAGCGGCCCACCCGTCGCTGCCCTGCCAACCCACCCCTTCATCCCTGAGGGCGACCCTCGCGAGATTCCTCCGGTTTACTCTTCTGGAGGCGGCCATACCTGAAGGTGCGGGGCGGCTCTGGCCCTAGCTCTTTCCCGCCGAGCCGTAAGTCGCGGGTGCGCATGCTCCGCGGACGCCCGCACCAGCCCGGGTAAACCCTGATAGAGTCATCGCGAGGCCGACTGAGCGGAGCTCCAGTGGCGCAATCGGTTAGCGCGCGGTACTTATACAGCAGTACATGCAGAGCAATGCCGAGGTTGTGAGTTCGAGCCTCACCTGGAGCACGTCCCTTTTGAATACCAAACTCCCCCTTTTATCTCCCTTCCAAGGGAACAAGGTAGTCTCTCTTTAGCCCTCTCTCAGTTCCTGTCGTTTGACTGCTCAGAGAGCGAGTACCCCTCCCCGTAGGCAGGACGCCGATCGCAGTTCTTACTTGCTTTCCAAGTTGTTTGTTGCCCCCGTGCACCGTCAAGGTGCTCGAACTCGGTTTACCCACTGCTACCGCCTAGTTTAACCCCTCGGCGTTTCCATTAATGGCACCCAGTCTCGGTACAGTACCGGGGATGCTGCTCGGAGGTCCCGGGGCGATGCACCCGTGATGGGGATCTGTCTGGGCATCGAGTTAGAAAATCCTGGGCGCCCCATTTTACAGGGCGTGCCCGAGCTCTCAGCGACGGGACAAGCCCCGGGCTCCCGGCTGCTGCTCCTCGTCCAGGGCCGGGCGTGGCGCGGTGCGAGCTGGGTGGCGGGGCGGGAGCCAGGCGACCACTCGCGGGAGTTGGGGCCAGAGGCCCCGCGCGGGGGCGCAAGTGGAACAGCCCATCCCATCCCTGTTAAATAGTAATAACCGATCATTACCCCTCCCCCTGATCTGTGGAGACCCCTAGACCGCGCGGGCCCTTCCTTACTAGACAAATCTGGGCGGGATTTACAGACTTTGGAAAGTGTTCCTGGGGCGTCTTTTTCTCCCAGTTCTGTGTCCCTTGTCCCCGGTGTCAGTCTGGAGTGGTGGTATTCTTTGGTAAACCAGAGAGCAGATGTTTTTCAGTGCTATCCGAGTGGTGGACGCCCTTTCATGCAAGCCACCAATCCCAGGTTCAGAGTCCTGGAGGTGGGGGCTGGGGCAAGAAATCTGCCTCCCCATCCTTACCCCCCACTAGTGGTGAACTGGTTTGTTTGTTTGTTTACTTGCTTGTTTGTTTTAACCCAGCACAGAACACCTCTCTGAGGCGTGGGGGCTGCTTTACCGAGGGCCAGGTGGGTTCCCTGGGGCGGGTGGAAGCCCCACATGCCCAGAAATTGTGGGTGAGTCAGGGAACATGTTTAGTTAGGGTGAGAAGCCTCCTGGATGTGCTGTCTCCAGTGGTTTCAGCTGTTTTTATGGTGGTGATGGAAGTTAAATCCCGGGATGGAAATATTACTTGGAGTGGTGAGAAGCTAGACCTAGACAGCTCAGAGAAAATGTGGGTGGTGGGTGGAGTTCTTCTTTGTCCCCTCGGCTATACCCTAGTCCAGATTTACAATGGCGAGGCTCAGGGCAGTGTGAGAAGGCTGGCCCACCTCACCTAACCTGGCTGAGGGTTCCTCATCCAACCTGGGCCTTCCACTCAGCAGGTGGTGAGAATGCCCCTTTAAAAATCTAGGTCAGGCCTGGAAACAAGTATCTCCATAAAATTAAAAAGAAAAGTTTTGTTGGTATATAATTCTCATACTACGCAATTCACCCATTTAAAGCACACAATTCAATGGATTTTAGTATTGTATATTCACAGATATGTGTAGCCATCACCATAATTTTAGGGCATTTTCATCACCACAGCCAATTTTTAGAACATTGTCATCACCTCAGTAAGAAACCATGTAACCCTTAGTGCCCCTCTAGCCTCCCATCCCATCCCCAAGTATCTACTTTCTGTCTCTATAAATTTCCCTCTTGTGGACTTTCTCAAAAATGGAATCATTTAATATGTGATCTTTTGTGCCTGACTTCTTTTAGTTAGTCTAGTTTTTTCAAGATTCATCCATACCCTACCCTATATCAGTACTTTATTTCTTCTTTTATGTCTGAATAATATTCCATAATATGTATGGAATGGTCAGCATTTTAAAGAGAAAAATTTGCTGAAAACTGCTTTTAAAGGGGGAGTTAATTTTTAAAATGTACAAAACATAAAAATGATCAGACTTGCTTAGTGTATGTTCTCAACCTTCAGAGGTTATTTACTGCAAGAAATGGACAGGTACTTCAGAAAGCTGAGCACAGAGCAGTTCCCCATCCGGGCAGAAATAAAGGAATGGAAGATCGTCCTGTCCCACTTCTGTCCACTTTGGAATCCACCTAGGAACCCCAGCTCCTATTTGAAAACTTCTGGCTTCAAAATGTAGTTTCTTCACAAGACAACACATTCTATTTTTGTCAACTCTTCATGGTTAGAACATTCTTCCTCTTAAATATTTTTTCTGTCCCTATTGGTCATTACAGGAAAGGTGGTGGTTTGGGGAACTCTTTTTCTGGTGAGGTGAGAAGGCAGGAAGCCAAATTAGTTGCTCTTTCTCTGTTTACTCTAGAAATCCCCAGCTAGGAAAGTATCAGGGAGTGACAAACAAGCAGCCCATCGGCAGGTTTGTAATCCCACATCTTAATGTTCTGGTGATAGGATATTTTAAACTTGTGATGGGTGATTAAAGATCAAGTCAAAATTATGGGAAAATGCTTTAAAAACCATAAAGTATTATACGGAGGCAAGAAGGTGGCATTATTATTACCACAAGACTGATGTGTGTCTAATGCATGGTAGCTTTAAGGGGGAAGATGAGTAGGCGAACTGTGAATGTAGGTGGAACTTACAGCCGATCTCTAGTGGGAGAGAAGCCTGCCATACTCCGAGGCTGACATTAGCTTTGTAGATGGCTTGGATGAAGATAGGCTTATTAAAACTGTGTGTGATATGAATGAAGCCAAAGGGTCAGTAGAATCTGGAGGAACAGTAGAGCCAATCCAGAGGCAAATGTTTCTGACAAATGACAAGATGCAATTTGATAGAGACAATTGTAAGTCTGTGTTCAGTTCAGAGTTCAGTGTGGGGGATGCTTGGCTGGACAGCTGTTTGCATGTAAAGGATCTGGGGATTTCAGATGTATGCAATCTCAGTTGTCCCAGCCGTGTGACCCAACGGCTAAGAATGTCAACCAATTATTGATGCATTACTGTATAATGCATGACATGGCCTGGTGTCAGAGATCACAAAACAGCAGTCTGTGGAACAAATCTAGCCTCCAGACAGGTCTTGTTTGGCTTTCTAGCACTGACTTGCACAGCATTTAGATTGTGTGTGTGTGTGTGTGTGTGTGTGTGTGTGCGTGCGGATCATTTGCTTACAGTAACCTGGGGGATTTTAACAAAATGCCCAAATTTCAACTTTGTAATGAAAAATCAGACTGGGTTATCTGCGGCCCTCATTCCCACATGGCAGCATTGGCTGCCCCCTTAGGATGGGCATGTGATCTTCTGTCTGCCCCCCGCCCCTGTCTTACCACTCTCCATCAATCCCCAGCACAGGGGTGGGCGCCAGCCACCCCTCCCTCCCTCCCCTCTCCCCTTGTGGCTTGCTTTTCTGTTTTCTTAACCCCTGACTAATTTCTCTCATTTTTGCCCTACAGACGTTGGGCATGTGGCCTCAGTGTGGATAAAAGAGGGAAGACTGTTGAACTCACACTAGGTCAGAACACAGCCTCAGGGCTGTGATCTGTAGGGACACAGTCCATTTAAAATTCAACAAAATAAAACCCCAGTTCTTTACTGTGGAAAATTTCAAACATACCCAACAGTAGAGAAAATAATGTCTTTAACCCCCACGTAACCATCCATCATCAGGACTTTCAAGGATTGTAAATGTTGTTTCATCTATCTCCTTCCCTACGCCTGCAGGCACTGGGATATTTGAAAGGAAACCCCAGATATGGTTTAATTTAACTTGTAAATACTTCAGTATGTGTACACACCAGGTAACCACATTTAAAAACAGCATCAACCACGGTATCATTATTACACCCAGCAAGATCAACAATAATACCTCCTCATCATCTAATACCTCGTCTGTGTTCAAGTTTCCATGCTTATCTTTGACAGGTATTTTTACAGTTGGTTTGTTTGAGTCATAATCCAAATAAGGTCGACCCACTGCATTTGATCAATCTGTCTTTTAAGTCTCTTGTTAATCAGTCCCCCCTCTTCGTACTCCTTTTTATGGTATTTATTTGTTGACCTGTAGAATTTTCCACAGAATGTGGCCAATTGCATCCTCAAGTCATTCTTCATTGAGCTCTTCAATCCCCCCCGTTAGATCTCGAAGCTCGATAATATTCAGATCCTGTTTATTTATTTAGCAAACATATGTTCTAGATGGTTCTAGTAGTTCTACATTTAGTGATGCTAATTTTATTGATGATTTCAGATGTGGTCAGCCAAATCCACTGTTATAAAATTCCACATCAGCCTCTAATGGAACGGTTTTAGCAGCCACCAGTGCTCTTTGTCCAGAGTTATTATTTTATTCAGGATTATGCAATAGTGGTCTTCTAATTCTATTGTTCCTTCTGTAATTTTGACTGATTCCTAAAAACGAAAAACAAACAAAAAAAACCACCCCTGCTTCTATTGACTATCTGGTTTCCCTAAAGCGTAATTCATGCAGAAAGGCTAGATAATACTGCTCGACTCTGTTCCTTTTTCTACTTGCCTCTAGGGTAATGAGTTAATGCCCTAATAAGTCCCAAAGGTGGCCAATTAGTGTTCTTTTTAATTTCACAGCTTCTCTTTAGTTATATTTGACATACAATGAACTGCGTTAATAATGTTGAGTAGGTTTTTGAGGCTTCTTAGAGGTCCACATACTTTCTCTTCCACACTCCTTATCACAACTGCATGGTGCTCTATTCCCGTGGCCGTACCCCTGTGTGTTCAACCCGCCCTCTACTGGTCCTTCCGGTCTTCTGGTTCCGTAGGTGGTGTGGCAATGAAGAGATGTTTGTGTAGTTTTGTGTATCTTTGAGATAGGTCGTCGATGTGGGATTTTTGATCCAGGGAATGGATATCTATAATATATAATATGTATAAAATTATATATATATATATATAAAAAACTATATAATAATTTATATTATACAAAGTATGGTGCTATATAGTATAATGCTATATATAATAGATAAGAAGATATACAATAAGTAGATGTTTTCCAGAGGTGTGAAATCATCTTTAAAGAGGGTTTCTAATGCGATGATCCAGGAGGGGGAGACCTCAGGAACCCATGTCGTAAGCGCCATGGGCGAAGGCCCTGGGCTGACCGACGCCGACGGGGCGCGCACGTACCCTCCGGGCCCAGGAACCGCACCCCCAAGAGCCGAGGAAGGGGCGCTGACTGGAACCTCTGACATAAGGACTAGCTGGCCAAGGATCTCAGCTTGCAGGGGTGCCCGGAAGGGAGCCCCAGGTTCAGAAAACACCCACGAGACCGTGCCAACGGGTCCTTCAGGCCCCGAGACACCATCCTGCTGCCCTTTGCTTAAACTGTTTCTGTTTTAGCTGTCTTATCATGTTTAGTCTTCCAAAAAATCTTTTTATTTTGTTTAACTGATTATTATTTTATTAACAGAATATTTCCTAATTATTTTTATCTTTAAAACAATTTTGTTCCATCTTAACCTTTCATTCCTTTAAACCCTCTTGTTAATGAATATATTCTTTCTTTTTAAACTTTCCCTGTGTCCTT